CTGTAACTTTGTAAGATCTCCTAACCATAAGGGAAATCTATCGTCAATCAGATTATTTGAGAGATCAAGAATCTCAAGTTCAGTACAACTTGCCAATGATCCTGGCACCTTCCCCTGTAATTGATTACCACTATAGTCAATCATCTTTAATTTGTTTCCTCTATTGTATGAGTGAGGAATGGGACCCTGAAAGTTGTTGCCTTTGAGATTTAGAACTTTCAAAGAATCACTAAAGTTACTCAAACATGGAAGAATAGTTCCAGTCAAGTTGTTATTAGACAAATTAAGAACATAAAGAGAACTCAATCGACAGATCAATGGTGGAAGTTCCCCTGTCAATCTGTTGTATGAGACACTATAAAAGGAGGTGGATAATGGTGGAATTGGCAGTGGTCCTTGTAGCCTGTTATAAGAAAGGTCTAATTCGCCTAAATTATCCCATGGAAGGATATCTGGTTGTTGCTCAAAGCCTGTTAGAAAGTTATTCCGAAGACTTAACCACGCTAGAGTTTCTACACTTGTGTTCCACATCCATGCCATAATTTCGCCATGAATTTTGTTTTCAGCAAGGGATAGAACACAAAGTTTGTCTTGGAAGCGCAAGAAATTTGGGAATTCCCTTAAGCTGCACGAATTCAACTCCAACAATTTTAATTTGTTAAGAGTGTTATTTGAGGTTTTTTTGGTTAGAACTATTAATTTGTTACCAGACAAATCGAGATAAGCAAGATTTTTGAGCATCAGAAAAATTTCAAGTTCCAAGACGCCGAGGTTATTGAAGGAAAGATATAGAATTTGAAGATTCTTTAGCTTAGAGAATGACCATGGGGTTGGGCTTCGCAATTGATTAATTGAAAGATCTAGCATAATTAGATGGGTTAGGTTCGTTAAATGAGTTATTTCACCACTTAAGTGATTGGAGGACAGGTCTAAAGAAATAAGTTGAGTTAGGTTTGAAAGAACTGATACCGAACCATATAGATTAATGTCTCTAAGGAACAATTCAATGAGTTTCGTTAGCTTACTAAACAATTGTAGGGTCCCTACATTAAATTTGTTGGATGAAAGCGACACGTAATTGAGTTGGGTCAAATTACCGAGAGATGCTGGAAGGGACCCTGAGAAATAGCAGCCAGAGAAATCTAATTGATTCAAGAAATTAAGATTTTCAATCGAATCCGGTAGCTTCCCCGAGAGTTGTCAAGGAAGTTAAGTTGGCCAATGTATCCGGTACTCCAGACCAGGCTTTTCAAGGTTTGAGGTTAGTCAAGTTTTGAAGTAGGCTTCTCAGACCAAGCTTTTCAAGTTTTAGTAGTCCTGAAAATGATGAGTCAACATTGAAAGAAAGATCAATGGAAACCAATTTGGACAATTTTGAGATTTCCGAAGGGATTTGACCGGAAAATGCAGAGGAGGAAAAGTTGAGACTTGTTAGCCCTGAGAGATGGCCAATTTCTGACGGAATACGAGAGTAATCGAAGTCATTATCAGCAAGGTTAAGTCGCTGAAGGTGAACTAGGCTGAAGAGGCTGCTGCTTGAATTGATAGAACCGTGGAGGAAACTGCTGCTGAGGTCAAGGCCAATCACATGACCCTTCTCCTGATCGCATTCGACGCCATCCCATGAGCAGCAATCACCACTATCTCCTTCGAGCTCCCATGATGCAAAGGATCACTAGAAGTGGATTTGTCAATTGAAAAGCTTTGTTTGAATTGCAACAGGGTGGAGTTCTCATCTGCATGGCTTATTGGCTGCTCAGCAGACAGAGAGTTAGCCATTATTATTACAAGATGAAAGCAAGAGAGTGATAAGAAGAGTAAATGCATAAACAGAGAGAGATGCAAAGAGGAACCCATATTTTGTTCACTAGATTTCTCTAAGCAGTTTTGGATGAGCTAGACAATGCTTAATCAGGAACTTTTATAGACATGATTTGAGTGTTGGATGTGCTAAGATCATAGAATGATGTTGCATGTTCTCCACAAAATGCTGTGCGTCAAGGCTCACCACTACTGGCTACATAAAAAAATTATTTGGTACTCCTAAAACAATGCTCCATACTATTTATTAATTAACGTATCTTATGTTGTCTTTTAAAATATTCACACAAAAGTGATGGACCTTATTATCTAAAGTAATTATTGTGGAATTGGAGCACCAGATAGACTTGTTCCTAGAACTGAATAATTTGTCCTGATTACATGGGCTGTGGTTATTAGACTTAACTGTTTTGGGTCTTGGCTATTCTTTTAACTTTGGAAATGGGATTTGGGTCCTGGCTAATCTTATCATATGGGATATGGGATTTGTAGAGCTTTGAATGAGTCAAGTGCAATCTAGATTTGCTTTTTCGATTATCTATATTCATACCAAGTTAGTTAAGAGTGTATTTGGATTATGAATTTGAATAGAAATTTAGAAAGAAAAGAAAGAGGGGAAAAAAAAGACAAGGAAAAGATGAATGAAATATAATTTTTTTTTTTTCATTCTCTTGCCTTTTTTTTCCTTTAAAATTTTTATTCAAATTCATAATTAAAACATAGAGCGAGTGGTCTTGGTTTAAAAAATTGGATGGATGGAAGTGGAGTGATTTTACTTTTTACCAGCTTGACTTCACTCACTTGTGCTGGGTGGGGTGGGTGGAGAAACATGGCTAGTGGAATGCAATAGGTCATTTAATATTCATGACGCATAGCGTATTTTGGAAAAATAATTAAAAATTATTTTTTTTGTTTTTAATTTATTTTGAGTTATATTATTTTTTTATAATTTTTACATATTTTTTTTAAAAAAAGTCAAAATAATTTTTAACCATCTTTTCAAAATAGACTATATGCCACATATAATTATAAATCGTTTAACTATTATAGATTATTGGGGTAGTGAGACAGTAAATTCTCATATATAACTTGGTTATGTTTTATTATGATGTTTGGTTATTTTCAAAGCAATGTTGTTTATGATTTATTGTGGTGGGTTTATTCATATTAGTTTTTTCATATCTAACAATTGAAAGTATGGATATATTTTATATGTGTTTTTAGGTTTGCGTAAAGGGGAAGGAAATTGGAAAATGTGAGGATTGTGAATGAGGTGGTGGTGGGGTTTCATACTTGCTTGGTTCTGGTTGTGCTAGTATTAGACTTGACTGTTTTGGGTCTTGGCTATTCTTTTAACTTTGGAAATGGGATTTGGGTCCTGGCTAATCTTATCATATGGGATATGGGATTTGTAGAGCTTTGAATGAGTCAAGTGCAATCTAGATTTGCTTTTTCAATTATCTATATTCATACCAAGTTAGTTAAGAGTGTATTTGGATTATGAATTTGAATAGAAATTTAGAAAGAAAAGAAAAGGGAAAAAAAAAAAACAAGGAAAAGATGAATGAAATATAATTTTTTTTTTTTCATTCTCTTACCTTTTTTTTCCTTTAAAATTTTTATTCAAATTCATAATTAAAACATAGAGCAAGTGGTCTTGGTTTAAAAAATTGGATGGATGGAAGTGGAGTGATTTTACTTTTTACCAGCTTGACTTCACTCACTAGTGCTGGGTGGGGTGGGTGGAGAAACATGGCTAGTGGAATGCAATAGGTCATTTTCATGACGCATAGCGTATTTTGGAAAAGTGATTAAAAATTATTTTTTTTGTTTTTAATTTATTTTGAGTTATATTATTTTTTTTATAATTTTTACATATATTTTTTAAAAAAAGTCAAAATAATTTTTAATCATCTTTTTAAAATAGACTATATGCTACATATAATTATAAATCATTTAACTATTATAAGATTATTGGGGTAATGAGACAGTAAATTCTCATATATAACTTGGTTATGTTTTATTATGATGTTTGGTTATTTTCAAAGCAATGTTGATTATGATTTATTGTGGTGGGTTTATTCATATTAGTTTTTTCATATCTAACAATTGAAATTGGAAATTTCAATTGTGTTTTTAGGTTGCGTAAAGGGGAAGGAAATTGGAAAATGTGAGGATTGTGAATGAAATGTAAGTTAAATTTTTTTTCTTTATTTCTTTTTTCTTTTTTAGATTTTTATCCAAATCTATAATTCAAATATAGCATTAAAGATGAATATTGTAAAATTTATAATGGAATTTGTTTGGTTTGATTTTTTAAAAACAATTTTTCAATGGGTTTTCATTTATTTTAGTGATTCTTTTATTTTATTTTATTTTAATATTTGTAATGTTTTTTAGATACATCAAGAATAGATGTATCTAAAAAGATTAAAAATAAAATAGAATAAAAAAGATTACAACATGAAAAGTTCACTAAAAACAAATTTGGATTTTCGATTGTGTTTAGTAAATTTTTTTTATATTATATTTTAATCAATTTATTTTAGTTTTTAAATTCATCTAAATTAGGTATATCTAAAAAGTAAAAATAAAAATGACTAAAATATTTATTAAAAAAATTCATCAAAAAGAAACGAAAATTCATCTAAAAATATTTTTAAAAAAATCAAACTAAATAGACTTTATTTTTACAAGTCTACTTTTTAGAGATAATTAGTTGATAATTAAATATTCTATAATTATCAACTAATTATCTTTTTAATCATTACTAAATTTAAAAAATAAATCTAATTTTTAAGCCATAATAGCAATACTCTTTCCAGAAGCTTTCCCATTGCCATTGATTGGGCAAGAAGGAAGTCTTTCCACCATTAGAAAAGAACTCGGCGTGTGATTTGAGATACAAGTCAATTGTTAGGCCGATTAAAATTATATTAAAGTAGCCTATCACCCGTGCTATGCACAGAATAATTATAGATATTTATATTTGTTTTAGATTTTTTTTAATATATAAATTATGTTTTTCAAGATTTTTTATAAAAATAATTTAATAATCTTATCACTAATCATAATGTATGAGAGAAGTTGAAAATGGTATTGCATTAACTATATACAGATTGTATCTATAATTATTTGTATAAGGGGATTTTAAATGTTGATAAGGGGATTTTGACCAAATTAATAAATGCAGGCATGTGGAAAGACATGTGGATTGAAAAAAGTTAATAAATGTTGATTATGAGATTTTAACCAAATCAATAAATGCTGAGTTTTTTTTTTTAAATAAAAAATTTAAAAAATTCAGATTGGGATATTAAAGCTCCCACAGGGCTTGGGAGTTAAAAATCCCCATTTTACTTAATATATAGTATAGATTATATGTTATCATTACGTACAGTACATTGAAAATAGAATTTATTGTACCAATTATATATCAAAATTTTTTTTTTGTTGATAAACACTGACTTTGATATTTGAAAAAAAAATATAATATGTCTTTCTTTTTAATAAGACTAAATGAATCTAAATTAATACAAATAATATGAAAATTTACCAATGATTAAAGAATATATTCAACCGGACCGATTTGTTACCTATTTTTTTAGGTCTTGAAAGAAGAGATCAAATCTCAGAGTTTTCAATTAGCCTCACATGCATTAGTTAATCGATTTGTTCCAAATTTATTGAGATTGTCACACTAATAAATTTATATAATCAATATTTCTATACAAACACATACACATATGTAAATAAGTAATGTTATCCTACATATATATAACCAATATTTGTGTAGAAATAATCAGCGTGTTTGGTTTGAGTTTTCTGGATTAAATTTTTTGAAAATTGACTTTTTTGTTTTCGTGTTTTTTTGTTTTTAGTGAATATTTTTTAAATTTTAAATATTTTTTTTACTTTTTTAGATGCACCTTACTTAGATGTATCTAAAAAGTAAAAAATTTGTGAAAAAATATTTTAAAAAATTAATAAATACATAAAAATACAAAAAAATGTACTAAATTTTTGTATTTTTTTTTGTAATTTTGGTATTTAGTGAATTTTTAAAAGATTTTTTTTATAATTTTTTTACTTTTTAGGTGTATTTATGTTAGGTGTGTCTAAAAAGTAAAAAATTGCTTAAAATATAAAAAAATTCAGTAAAAATAAAAAAACACGAAAAATAAGAAAGTAGAATTTTCTGAAAAGTATTTTTTGAAAAGTGGAAACAATTTAAGTTGTTGCTATGATCTATTGGAATTAACTGATCCTTTGTTGATTAATAATTATAATTTTTTTAAATAAATAAAATAGCCTAAAATCATAGAAACAAATTGATTATTATTATTTGGTTTTGGTTTTGGTTTTGGTTTGGTTGTGTAGTTTCAACAATTTGGTTCTGGTTCCAATTATTTTTATACCATTTGGTAATCTACCGTGAAATAACACCAATTTGGTCCCGAAACACCCCTAATTGACTCAAGACCCCTACATTTTAAAAAGAGGGATTTGGTGATAAACCCTTCATTGTTTAATTTATTTTTCAAAAAGACAAGAATTATATAGATGTTTTCAAAATTTCCTAATATTTTAAAACTTGTTTTTTTTACTATATTACCCTCATATCTATCAACTCTCCTATTAAGTCATCTTCACAGTATATTTCAAAGTAAAATTTTACTTTGAATCATAGTAAACTTTATTCTGATTCAGAGTAATATTTTACTTTGAATTAGAGTAAAATTTACTATGATTTAAAGTAAAATTTTACATTGTTAAGCAAATCAACATGTTTTTAACCAAAGTAAAATTTCAGAGTAAAATTTTACTCTGAATTAGAGTAAAACTTTACTTTGAAAGTATAATTTTTTTTTTAGTCAAAGTAAAATTTTACTCTGATTCAGAGTAAAATTTTACTCTGAAAGTACAATTTTACTCTGAATCAGAGTAAAGTTTACTATAATTTTAAGTAAAATTTTACTTTGAAAAAAAAATAATTTTTTACTATGATTCAATGTTTAAATTTTCACAACCCATTTCTCAGTATAAAAAAAAAAATTTAATATCGAAATACATTTCCACAAAACATAGATAATTTTAATGGTGAATATTTGAGGCATTTTACGTTTGTTTCTTCTATTACTTTCAATAAAAGCCTGTAAAGAGAGAGACCAACGATTCAACAACATCACTACCTCTGATTCAAAACCTATTTAGATTTCTATATATTTATGTGCATAATCAATCAGGTAAGAGATTGATATGTGACTATATATATATATATATATGTCAATTCCTTGAACCTTAAGCCTCGATCCTTGGCGAACCTAACCTTGACCAGATCTCTGACCGTCGAGACCAACTTTGAGGTCACGAGCATGGCATTCGCGATCTTCGGCCTCTTTATCTACAGTAGCAGTGGTGTTAGGATCGTCAACTAACTGAGCAGTGGTCGATGACAGATCGGAGAAGAAGATGAAAATGAGAAAGAAGAGAGAATAGAGAAAGAGAGCCAGATTTGTACGTCTATGTGTATGTATGTATTTATCTTGTGCGACGATTGTTCAGCACCATCAACGACTGAGGAAGAGCAGAGCAGCGGCGGGACTAGATCTATTCACTGCGTGACCAGATCTCGTCGTCGGAGATTGCGAAGATGGAGGAAGTGAGACCGACGGACGGCGGTGACAAGGGGCGAGATCGACGGGTGGCCTTTGACATGGCTATGAAGAGAAGCTGTGTTTAGAGAGGGGGGAGAGAGATGGAGAATGTGGAGAGAGAGTGGGTGAAGAAGGTGGAAAGATTTAGTTGATGATATAATAGTCTGATAAAATATTTAAATAATAAATTTTATCTTTTATGCAAAACTTTATAAGTATGAAGTGGTTTAGAAAGGAAGGTAAAGAAGGTTTATAGCCAAATTTCCCTTTTAAAAAGGGTTGTTTCACTTAAAATTCACATATTTTTACTAAAATTTTATTTTGACCTCACTTTCAGTTGTAATAGTCGTGGTAAGGAAAAAGTAATACCATTTTGTAGTAAAAAAAAATATATAATTTTTTATAGTGTTTTTATGATATACACCTTTTAATGTATACATCCTTTTAGCATATACATAGTAGCCTTTCTTTCAACTTATTTGTGCCTGACTTCTACCATCATTCTTCAATTTGCAACTACATCATTTAAAAAAAGAAATCTAATAATTATAATTACATAATTTAATTATATTTGTGTTAAGAAATATAAAAGGCTTATACTCGTCTTCTTTTTTTTTTTTGTTCTTTTTTTTTTCAAGACAAATTTAATGAAATCATGTGTCTATGATTATTGAAGCAATATGAGTTTTTATGAATAATCTGCAATAAAAGCCTAAAGATGAATGGATTGGTTCATCAGAGTGAGACCCGTGATGAGCCCACAAGCTAGAATTGTACGATCCACTTTACTTTAGGGGATTGGAGAGAAACTTAATTATTATTATTATTATTATTATTATTATTTTATGGGAAAATTATTTATAAGTCCTATTAGGGAGACTCATGCTACATATGGTCCTACTAAAAAATTTATGTTCCCATAAGTCCTATGGGAAGTTTGTTGACATATTTACTCTCAATATTAGTTGTTAATATCATAAATAATAGTAAAACCATATATAGGAAATTGAATGTTACCATAAATCATATCTATATAAATGTAACGTAACGTGATACCTATACGTAACGTGACACCTATGATCTATGGTAACATGCAATTTCCTTATATATACATAAACGTAACGTAACGTAACGTGACACCTACATAAACGTAACGTGACACCTATGATCTATGGCAACATTGAATGTTGCCATAGATCATATTTATATGAAACGTAACATGACACCAATATAAACCAGCAATATTTTCACATTCAATTTAAAAAAATAAAAACTCATTAAGTTTGCGAAACGTAACGTGACACGTTACGTTACGTTTATGTAGGCGACACGTTACGTTTATGTAGGTGTCACGTTACATTATGTTTATATAGGTGTCACGTTACGTTACGTTTATGTAAGTGTCACGTTACGTTACGTTTCTGTAAGTGTCACGTCACGTTACGTTTATGTAGGATCTTGTGAAATACATTCTTATCTAAATAGGACTTGAGACTCTATAAGAAATTACACAGGACTTAGCCTACCATAAGTGTCTGAAAGAGGACTTATAAATAAGTCTCTCTTATTTTGTTGATTCAGATGACAAGAAATTAAATTGATTTGACTGGAAGTCTAAATTTAAAAATGAAATTGATAAAATTAAATTATTACAATAATATGAAAAAGATATTTTAAAGAGAATAAAAGTGTATTATATGTATAAAACCAATGAGCATCAGGATCACACCATTGTATCCATCTACTAATCTACAAACACAGCTTTTTCTTAGTGATGGAGTCCATTCTAATGATAACAAACCTTCCTCAAATATATCCCACAATTTGTCACTTTTGCTTGGAAAATTATTGGGTTGTCTAGCCAACAAATCTCATCATATGAAGGTCAGGTTTGAAGGAACATCAAATGTGAGAGTTCCATGAGAGTGCAAGGAACAGATCAATCTCTGAAAATCTGAAGGCAAAACCATAACCAAACCAGAGAAATTTCTCACAAGGCGAACAATATGTCGGACAATCTACCTCAAGAAGTGGTGTTTGATATCTTGGCAAGACTACTTGTCAAGTCCCTGTTACAAATGAGGTGTGTATGCAAATCATGGAACTCTCTAATCAATAGTCCAAATTTCATCACGTCACACACAAACCAAACTCTTGCAAACAACAACAATGAATTAGTACTACTTAGGCACCACACTGATGGCAAAGATCAGTTCACAGTGCATTGCAATAACAACACATTCAATGAGTGTACAACATTTGATTGCCCATTTACAAACTGGACAAAGTATTATTTGAGGGTAGTGGGTTTGTGTGACGGGTTAGTGTGCTTGTCGTCTTATGATCAGACTACGATTTTATGGAACCCATCAATCAAGAGATGTTTGAATCTTCCAACACCTCACATTACATATAAGTCTCACAGTTCTTATACGTTTATCCTTGGATTCGGATTTGATTCCTTGACTAACGGTTTTAAGGTGGTGAGACTTGTATATTTTCACAAGAACTTTGGTTACAGGCTTCCGGTAGAGGTCGATGTTTATATGCTTAGCATAGGGACTTGGAGAACTGTTAATACTGTTACCCCATCATATAATTTGATGCAATGCGTTTCCCATGCTTTTGTGAACCGGGCATGCCATTGGATTGGGTTTGAGGCAATGACGAAGGAAATAAGGTGCTATTTGATACTGTCATTCAACATCAGTACTGAAGTGTTTCATGAGATAAAGCTCCCGGATTGTGTTGCTAATGTGTTCAGACTAATTGCATCGGTTTGCAGTGTATGAGGAATCGATTTGTTTGTTCCATTATGATAGCGATTGGGGGTATCCAAGTAAGGATTGTGATATATGGGTGATGACAGAGTATGGTGTGGTTGAGTCTTGGACTAAATTGTTCACAATTGATTTTGGTATAAGCAAAGCTGTAGGTTTTAGGAAGAATGGTGAATTTTTGGCAGAAGATAGTGAGGGGAAGTTGGTTACATATGATTTCAAGATGGGGCAAATAGTGTATCTTGGAATCCATGGGTTGAAACAATCGTTTCATTTGGATAATTACATGGAAAGCCTAGTTTTACTTATAGAAGGAAATGAAGTTTTAGAGGAGAAGGCAAAATCTAGTAATGCCCTTGACAAAGGTATAGAAGAAAGGTCGGAATTGGGGAGCAGCATTAATCAACAAGGAAGTGGATCACGTGGTAGGTTCTTTTGTTGTGCAATGCTTGGCTCTCTCACAAAAACTGGACTTCCTTGACCCTCTTACAGAAACTTGATTGATCGTCCACTTCAATTGGAAAGAAGCCTATCCCAATCAACAATGCTAGAGGAAGCCAAGAATAATAGGAAATTGTAAAGGTAATTTACTTCCATTTTCAGTTGGTGGTGGTCTCTCTTCCATTCTCAATGTAGAGATATAATTGTCTTTCGACTTATGATATGCAGATATGTTTGGCTTTTGATATTCATGATCAATGTAAAACTTCAGATATGAGAAGATTTGTTTGTTAGATTGTGGTTATCGGATCTTTATTTAATGTGCTAAGGCTCGATTTCAAAGTTTATAATCTGAGATAAGGTGTGGTTCCAATTTTAAACATTGTAAATTTCAATTTAGTTTCATACTTGCCACTGGAAGAAGGCCACCTTAGACTACTAATTTGGTGTCACTTTAACCTCATTGTTGTATTTAAACACAAGTACGTCAATGAATTATTGATCTGCCCTGTTGTTCATTTAGGCAGGCTTTCTTCAATTGCTAGTGTTAGACAGTAAGTTGTTAGAAAGAGTAAAAGGAATAATAATTAATAGGGGGTAAAAACCACAAATACCTCCTGAAAATACACTAAACATTTCATAATATGACACCTCTGGCGTTTGGAAGTTGTATTATAGACATCTTATTTTATTAAATCACATACAACCTTTTGACATTCAACAAAAATATACTGACACTTCTTAACATTTGGCGAAAAGATCACAAACACCGCCATTAATTTAAATAAATACATCCGATAATATTAATTCACTTATTTTTAAATATTTTTTATATATATATATATATATATATATAAATTACACTATTAGTTCCTGTAATTTAAATGAAATGTCACTTTAGTCCCTATAATTTCTCAATTTGAACTTTACATTTTAAATTTCGTTGCAATGTGATCTCTCCATCACTTAATCATTAGAATTTTGAATGGAGAAAAACCATGTGCAAAACTAGAGGGACTAAAATAGAATTCATGTGAGTATGCTTCGGAAGTATGAGCCAGATCCATCGCATGTATTGGATTGGACCGACTTGGAGGTAGATGAGGATTCCTCGTATGAGGAGAGGCCGGTTCGGGTCTTGGATAGGAGGAATCAAGTCTTGCGAGGCAAGACCATTCCCTTGGTAAAGGTTTTGTGAAAACATCACGGAGTGGAGGAAGCCACTTGGGAACGTGAGTTGGAAGTCCGTGAGAAATATCTGAACATGTTTATTGATGTGTAATCTTGTATTTAGATTTTGTAATATTGTTGAACTTAAGAGCTTTATATATGTCTTAAGTTGTAAAACATTGAAAATGTTTTGGTTTAATGGAAGAATTTTGAAACTTGCCTCGAAATGGAAGTTTAGTGTAACATTGTATATGTTGAATATATTGTAGAAATGGAAATGTATCATGAACATTAGTTATGATATGAAATTGTTGGAACTGGAAGGAAAATGCATAATGTTAATGCATGTTGAAATATATGTTGTTTTGCATATTGTGAAATGCCTCTTGATAAGAGATGGAATGACCGGTAATGGGTCGAGTTATTGAATGTTAAGATGCAACATTGTTTAAATTGAGAAAAGAACTGTTTTCAAAAACTTATGCTTAATTTCGGGGACGAAATTCTTTAAGGAGGGGAGGTTATAGCGATCCCGGTTATCCCTTTACTGTTCAGTTGTAATCCGGACTCGATTCTGTGGAGTTGGTAGCTGTATCTATCTTGTTGTCGTCCCTTAAATCAATTTGTTTGAGTTTTGGGATGTGTTGGGCTTGGTTGTTATAGGTTGGTAGAGCTTTGGCTCCCATTGTTGTTGCCTAGTTTTTGAATGGTCCGCTTGAGCAGGTCATTTTGTGTTCGAGCGGGGTCTACACCCTTCAAGCATTTCGTGTCTCTGCAAAACTTATGCAGGTGTGTTTTCTACGCTCGAGCAGGTTTCTTACGCTCGAGCAGGTTTCTTGCGCTCGAGCGGGCTTGTTGGCGCTCGACCGGGTAGTACCTTGTTGGTGAAAGTTCTGGGAGATGAAAATCTACGCTCGAGCGGACTGGTCTTTCGCGCTCGAGCGGGTGTGCTTTGTCTTTGTGTCTTGGCGCTCGAGCGGGCATTCTTGCGCTCGAGTGGACCCAGTTTTCTGTTATTGACGCTCGAGCGTCCTGTTTTCCGCTCGAGCGGGAGTGTCGTATATCAGTGGGCAATTGGGCGTTTTAAAATCACTTCTTACATTCTCTCTCTCTCTCTCTCTCTCTCTCTCTCTTACTTTCTAAAAATACTTTTTGAGAGCTTCTCTCTCTAGGATCTCCCTTCTCTCTAGGGTTTGATCTAGTTAGAGTGTCCCTATATCCTCCAGCCTTTGTAAAAGGTGTGTTGATCGTCAAGGGCTTCGTTTTGATCCGTGGATCTTGGTATTTGGAGCATTTTGGTTTTCTTCAACTTCCCCGTTTGAGCTCTAACTTCGAGGTAGGGATATCCTACTCCTTCTCATGAGTTTTGTCTTTGAATTTTAGTATTTTGATGAGTTAGGGGTTGTTGGGTAATTTTGAGAAAGTCTGGGCCTTTATGTAATTTTACAAAAGTTGAGGTTTTGTTTATACAAACTTATATGCATGTTTGGCATAGAGAAATGATATAGATGATGAACTATGGATAAAAGTGGAACCTTGGAGTTGTTATGTTAATTATGGGAAAATGCCCTAATTAGTTGGATAAATTAATTTGTATAATTAATTTTGAGAAATGAGAAATTGAATAGGAAATATTCAAATTGGAAAGGTATGGGATTAAAGGGGTGTAGTTGGATCATTTATCACTCACCTAGTTGAAATGTTGATTTAATATCCATTTTGTGCATTTATTTTCTGTTTAGAAATAACTGCTCTAGGCTATCGGTGGAGGATAGTCTTGATTGTTGTAGACAATGCATGATAATTAGGCAGACTGATAGTCTTGATTGTTGTAGACAATGCATGATGATTAGGCAAACTAAAACTAATCAATTGAGTACAATACAACACTAAAATGTGGTTAGTACAATACAACACTAAAATGTGTATTGAGTGATTGAATTTGTATATGATAATTGTTTCTATACATTGTATTGTGTGGGAGGAGATGGGGGATATACTCCACGGTTTATTGGAAGATGGGGGATGAACCTCTAAATCGGATTGTGTGTGTGACATTGATACAGCACTACAATGTGTATCAAGTGTTGATTATGGGAGTGTTTGAATTGATTTGATATAGCACTAAAATGTATATCGTTATCAATTGTGAAGTATAGAAGTGTTTTTATGTTATGTTGATACAGCACCAAAATGTGTATCGTTCGTATAGTATGGAAGTGGGTTATGTGTTATTGATACAACATCAAAATGTGTATCCATCATAAATTTTGAAAATGTTTTAAAAGATGAGTCTTATTCTCATTAAGTTATTTGGCTAAGTTTTGAGCCTTGTTTTCAAACTCAAGGTTGAAAAGAGATGAGAAAGGAAATGTAACATGGACTTAAATGTCATGAAACTGGAATGTGATATAAGTGAGTGTATCGGTGTTGAACATCTATCAATTGCTAATCTTTAGTCATTGTTCATAGCTGATTTAGTGTATTTCTGCTGGGCTGTGGCTCACCCTAAATGGGACATCATTTTCAGGTACATGTAGCATGCCACCTCCAAGGACATAGCTTGGGAGGCTAGAGGCAGGCAGACTTTTTGGTTGTTTTGATTTTCTTTTGTTGTATTACTAGTAAATTTCAAGCCAAGGGCTTAAAATGTATTGAGTTAGTACTTTTCTTTTTGTAACCAAGTGTTAGCTTGGAAAGCTGTAAGCCCGTAGGGCATTTGCTTTTGTTGTTAACATATAATACTTTTGTAAGAACTACTCTGATGAATAAAAGGTTGTTTATTTCTCTTGTATTGTCGCATGTCGAGAATGATGGGTTTTATGTATTTTTTGAGGGCGTTACAGTTCAGACTAATTGCATCGGTTGCAGTGTATGAGGAATCGATTTGTTTGTTCCATTATGATAGGGATTGGGGGTATCCAAGTAAAAATTGTGATATATGGGTGATGAAAGAGTATGGTGTGGTTGAGTCTTGGACTAAATTGTTCACAATTGATTTTGGTATAAGCAAAGCTGTAGGTTTTAGGAAGAATGGTGAATTTTTGGCAGAAGATAGTGAGGGGAAGTTGGTTACATATGATTTCAAGACGGGCAAATAGTGTATCTTGGAATCCATGGGTTGAAACAATCGTTTCATTTGGATAATTACATGGAAAGCCTAGTTTTACTTATAGAAGGAAATGAAGTTTTAGAGGAGAAGGCAAAATCTAGTAATGCCCTTGACAAAGGTATAGAAGAAAGGTCGGAATTGGGGAGCAGCATTAATCAACAAGGAAGTGGATCACGTGGTAGGTTCTTTTGTTGTGCAATGCCTGGCTCTCTCACAAAAACTGGACTTCCTCAACCCTCTTACAGAAACTTGATTGATCGTCCACTTCAATTGGAAAGAAGCCTATCCC